CCTAACTGGTGATTCCGTAAGTGAAGAGGCAGTTGTCCTGTTAGTAATCCTTTTTGGTAGGGAAGGCCTGGGTTATTTTTACATGATTTGCTTTGACAATTTGATCTTGGAGGGCGACACAGGAACGATTTGAAAGTGGTGATGGTGCCGATGTTAACGAAGCCACAGAGAATAATCAATAGATTCTTTGTTATTCATTGAAAGAATCCTCTGATTGGAGTTGCGAAGAGTTTGCTTGATGTTTAGAAACGCCTTATCTAACCTTTCGATGAGGGGAGACAAGCTATGAGGAGGTCCACTTTTCAAGCCTAGTACACAGACTTGCAGGCTGAGACGAATTAAGCAAAGTTCGTAGGGATATTTATCTGCTCTGGTTAAGCGTAAAACCAAAAGGACGAACAAACAGACTAGACAATTATTGTAAGACTTAATTTTGGCAGGCTGAATACTTGTTATGTTAACTGTTACAAGAAATATAGCATGGGTATGCAAGTCAGCTGATGTATTTACTGTGAGCCTGTGTTCTTCCAAACCTTACTGCCTTCATCAGTGTGGCGTTATGAGAGATTTGGATTCGCATGTGGAAATCCGAAAGTTGGACTATTACTTAATGTCACCTTCCCCTTTATCAACTTAAATGAAATAGAGGGTCTCCAATATAAATTATCTATTGGTAGTCGCGGAAACCTACTTATAAACGAAAAATTTCTTTCATGTCAGACCTGGCACTCATTCGGTTTGGATGCCATGCACAAATGATTTTACCACTTAGCTTTAACTTGCTCATTTCAGCCTCTTGCAAAGCGAAGAAAATTCAAGGCGGTGTCTCTACACCTAGCGTTCCCTTGGGTGCCGACTGCGAGGTCTATTGTCCTACCCGAAGTGGGATCAGCTCTTCTCCATGCCTTACTAAGAGTGCGTTGAATGCAATGTCAGCGCCTTGTCTCCGAGAGGCTTCGCCGCATAAGCTCCCATGGTCCAATACCACGACGGACAAGAAGAAAATTGAATCAGCATTCAAGACAGAACAGGTCGCGGTCACAGGTTTTGTATCTCGCTCGCAGGCCACCAACTTCCCTCCGACGACAACGATGAAAAAAAAAAAATCGAAGATCCCTAAGTCTACTCCGGCTCCCGCTACTAGTATGGAGACTGAGTGCATGAATATTCGTGCCATAATTGACATGTTGTTAAGTAACTCGATGAACCACACCCATGTCTTGAATATTATTCATTGTGAGTGTTTGTCTTTCTATGTTTTTTGTTTAATTTTATTTAGGATGTTACCATGGAATCATGCATAAGTTTCGAGATTGTCGGGTTTTCTTGCTTATCTAGATTCTTGGTTGGCTTCATACATTTTAGAAATTGTTTGACTCTGTTTTGGAAACTTGGTCGTATTGTTCAGAGGGCCAGGTATTCGTTTCTAGTTTACTGGTGGTAATTAGCTTTTCAGTCATTTATTCTTGGCTTAATGGGATAATACTTATCTACCTGAA